ATTTCCCTGGAGCTACCTCTGTGTGAGCCCTGGCCGGACACACCAAGAGACAGGGAGGGCGTGAGGAGAAGAGCCAGCCCTCCAGCCACTCCCAGACAACGGGGCAGGGCAGGGCCAGGGGAGTGGCCAGGATTCTCTCAGGTGGAGGGTGCAGAGGGCGTGGGTGAGTGAGCAGGGGTTGGAGGCCCCCAGCAGCTGCATGAGAGGGCAGGGCAGAGACAAGACCAGAACCCAAGTTCCTGGGAGGCCTGGAATGACGACTTTATTCCTGGGATTTTATTCCTAGGATGACGGTACTGAGCGAGGTCTGGGTAGAATGAAGGAACTTCTGGACAGGAGAACTTCTGGGGACTGTACCAGGCAGCGTGGAGCTCTGAGCATGGAGCAGCCCGAGCACGGAGCAGCCCAGCGAGGGTGGCTTTGGCTCAAGGTGACCTGACTTGCAGGTTGACGCTGGTGATGGAGAGGGCTGAAGAGAGAAAGGCGACGATCCAGGAGGATTTCCCCTTTGCTATGCTGCTGGCCCCTCCCCTTCACCCCCACTAAGAGATGCTGGCACCCATCACAGCACACGGCAGCTGAAATGCCAGCTGGGAGGGCTGCTGTCATAGGTCAGGTTCCCTGGAGGCTGAAGACGGGGATTGCTGTGCCAGTGATTCTTTGGGAGGTGCTTGTTTTAATCTGCTCGGGCTGCTGTAACAAAATCCAGTAGACTGTGTGGCTTATAAACAACAGAAATTCATTTCTCATAGTTCTGGAGGCTGAAAGTTCAAGATCAAGGCATGGGAATATTCTGAGCTGGATGAGGGGCTGCTGCCTAAGAGCTGACACCTCCTCTCCGTGTAAGGGGTTGGGTCTCTCTGAGGTCCCTTTTATGAGGGCACTCATCCCATTCATAAGGGCTCTGCCTTTGAGACCTCATCACCTCCCAAAGTCCTCATCTCCTGAAACCATCACATTGGCGGTTAGGATTTCAACATGGGAATTTAGAGGAACACCAACATTCAGGCATGCTCCCTGGAGAAAGGTGGGCGGGATGCAGGATGGGAGGAGCTGAGCTGGGAGGGGCTCTCAGCCGGATGCATGGCCATGTCTGCTGGGCTGAGCCTCAGTTTTCAAGGTGAGCTCAGAGTCCGGGGGAGACTAAGGGCTCTGGTGACACTAAGGCCAGATGCGCCTCTCATGGGGGCCTGGAGCCCTGGACAGTTGACGAGACCAAAAGTCATTTCGAGATGCCTGTTGGTCCTGCCATGCAGGAGGCTCCCGGTCACTCCTTAGATGCAGACAGCGGGGCTTCCCAAGAGCTGCACAAATTGCTGGAGTGGGAGGTGCTTTGACCACGCAGGGGCCCCGTGGAGGGCGGATCAGGCAGGAAGGGACATGGTACCTGGGGCCCCTGACCCTCTGGCTATGCTGGAGGCATTCCAGCAAGGCTGGCCCAGGGCCTCTGGGGTGGGGGTGGCCTGGGGCCTCATCTGTGTGCTGCTGCCACCCACTGTGGGACTTTGGGCATGTCTCTCCATAACCTGAGCCCCAGCCTTGGCAGCTATGCAACGTGTGGATGCAGCGGGACCTGCCTTGCAAGGAAGTCCTAGGAGGGCGGCTGCCCTTGGGGATGCCCCATAACTGACCCAGTATAGTGACCCTAAGCTGATGAGCCTGAAGGCATGTACCCATACATGCAGTACCCATGCACAGAAATGCACACACACACACACGTACATGCACATATACACACACCGCACATGTGTGTGCACACACCCCAGCCTTGGGTAGCTCTAGTTGCTCCTCAGGCTCTGCCACCCCTGCTGGGAGCTGGCTGGACACTGTGGACAAGGCTGACTGGCTGTGAGGCCCACACAGGGTCACAGAGGACCTGTACTCAAGGCCCTGCCCACTTTCTCTGTTCCTTGTGTTTAGAACGAAACCTCTGTGGTCCTCACCCTGGAACTGACGCTCTATCTCCCCATCACAGGGCACGCCTGGCCCTGGCCTAGTGGACAGCTGGCTCCACACACCTTCCTCCTTCTATTCCAAAAAGGGCATTACAGACTTCTGGGTGCAAAGCTTCACTCCACTACTTACTATCTTTTTCACTTTGGGCAAATTATTGAATTGTACTGTGCCCTGGTTTCCTCGTCTGAACAATGGGTTCATATCAGAGTGCATGGTTGCGTGGTTTAAATGTGCTCTTCCTCATCGAGCCCAGGGCTGCGATTCTGGCAAGTGCTCAGCCAGTGTAGGCTTGAAAGGGAAATTGGAGGCCTTGTTCCACAGATGGGTGACCTGGGTCCAGGGACCTTGTTCCACAGATGGGTGACCTGGGTCCAGGGAAAGGCAGTGCTTTGCCGCAGGTCCCACGACTTCACAGGTGACCTGGACTCCTGCCTGGCTCACAGCAGCTTCATTCCTGCTCACCTGCCTGTGGCCCAGGCAGCTCTGCACAGCCATTTACTCAGAAGTTCTCATTTCACTGTTTTTGTATTATTGTTTGATTTTATTCACATCAAGACCTTCACGAGCCTCAGGGAGGAAAGCACAGAGATGATCACATCACTATACCTGAAAATCAATGGACTGCTGGCAGTTCTAGAAGAAAAACAAATTATCTAAATACTTTAGATGGGAAAATAGAATGTTTTCAGTTTGCAGCTGCAGGTTCCACACCATTCCCCACTCCATTGCCAGATCCCGCCACCGAGTGAGCTTTGGCCCCACTGTGAGTTGGCCACTGCGAGCCAGGGATTGCAGGGAGAGGCGAGGCTGCTGTGGATGCTGTGAGGCAGCAGCTACCCTGTCGTTGGAAGGGCCATGCCTCTGATCTGAGCTCTAGGAACTGGCGCCTTGCTCTAGGGGTGGAGGTAGCCCCAGACCTCCCAGAGTCTAGGTGGGCCTGGTTGATGAGGCAGCACTGACTAGTGGCTTTACAATCAGCAAACTGCAAGTTCAGCTTCCACTGGTTACCCAATGCCAGATGTTGGCCCCAACTGTGCCCCTTCCAAGACTGCCTTCCCTTTTCCTCTCCTCCTTCTCAGCTTCTCAACCTTCACAGTCCACCTCCTCCAGGCAGCCCACTGTGACTAATCCAGGACATGGCTCCCACTCTCTGAACTCATGGCACCCACACAGTCCTGACCATGAGATCCAGTGCTGAAATCTACACTGTTCCAACTGCCACTTGTGTAGATGCTGCTGGTACATGTGCCTGTGCACATCACCTTGGCCCTCTCCTTTCTGTGCACGCCAGTGGTTTCTTACTGCAAGAACTGGTGACTCCCTCCTGAGGGCAAATAAACAGCATTGAGACACCATTTTGTACCCACAAGTCCTGCTGCCGTCAAAAGACCAACAATACCCAGTGTTGACAGAGACGCAGAGCAGCTGGACCTCACACATCACTGGCGGAAGCATGAAATGCTTACCATCTTTTTTGTTGTTGTTGTTGTTGTTTTGAGATGCAGTCGCGCTCTGTCGCCCAGGCTGGAGTGCAGTGGCGCAATCTCAGCTCACTGCAACCTCCACCTCCAGGGTTCAAGCAATTCTGCTTCAGCCTTCTGAGTAGCTGGGATTACAGGTGTGTGCCCCCAAGCCCAGCTAATTTTTGTATTTTCAGTAGAGACGAGGTTTCGCCACGTTGGCCAGCCTGGTCTTGAACTCCTGACCTCTGGTGATCCGCCTGCCCCGGCCTTCCAAAGTGTTGGGATTACAGGCGTGAGTCACTGCGCTCGACCACTTAGCATGTTTTAATAACGTTCCATACCCACCTACCCAGGACCGAGAAATTTCACTTCTAGGTAATCACCTAAGAGGAAGAAAAAATATGCCTACAAAAAGACCTTTCAAGATAGTTTTATTCATACTAGCCAAAACTTAGACACGACCCCAGTGTCCAAAGTGTGAATAAATGAAGGAATGTGACGTGTTTTCCATGGCACACTGCTCGGCAATAAAAACCAGTTACAGATACGTGCAATGTGACTGAATCTCAGAGACATCACGTTAAAGGAAAGAAGCCATCACGAAGGTATATTTTGCACAACTCTATTTGTATGATATTCCAGAAGAGACAAAACTAAGATATGGCGATATTGGAATCAGAAGAGTGGCTGCCTCTGATGGAAATGTTCTATAATTGACTATGGTAGACATTACCTGGGGGTATGCATTTGTCAAAACTCATTGCACTGCACGTTTTGCAGTGTGTAGCTTATACCTCAATAAAAATGTTTATTCTCCATCATTTCGAAAGTCACCCAGATCAACGAGGAACACATGGAATGCACAGAAAAAAAAAAGTAAAAACAAAACAAAAAATTACCTGCAACTAACCTCCCACAGTTGATCGTTTTTTCATCTGTGTACCTTCCTAGTGCAGACTCGGGTCCCACCATTGCACACCTGCACCCTGGGGCATCTGCGTGGCAGGGGTGGGGGCCCGCGGACCCTCTCAACCCCGCCACCTCCCACCAGGGCCCAAAGGCTCGGGTGGTGGAAGAGAGACTCAGACCCCAGGGCGGGAGCACGGGCCCCAGGACGCAACCCTCCACCCCCGCGCTGGTCCCCCGGTCCCCTGCTGCCCACTGCCCGTGACCCTCGCCTCTCTGCCTGTCACCCGCTGCCCCGGTCCTCCTACCCGAGTCCCCCTGCCGGTCCCCGCCTGTCCTGGCCCCTCTGCCCCCGCCCCGTAGACCTCGCCCCTCTGCCGGTCCTCCATGGCCCCCACCCGCCCCGCCCCCGTTGTCGGCCCCCGGTGAACGCGCCGTCCCAGAAGCACCTCAGTTTGGTTCCACGGATGCACGGACGCTTCTCCCGCCCGGCCCCCAAATGCTGCCCTCCTCCGCGGCCACCGGGATCAGGTGCGGTCTGGGGCCTGGGGTGGGAGTTGGACGGCGCGGCTACGCGTCTCCATGGCGACCTGGCGGGTGCGCGCCTCGGGGGCTGGGTCTGAGGCGGAAGTCCCGCCCCTGCCGGCTCCCATGAGACCTTGCAAAGCGCAACGTAGCCGGAAGCTGGTGGCGGCTGGTGGGCGACCCGGCGCATCCCCGTTGCAGTGCGGCGGTCCGAACCCGGCCCTGGCCTGACCCCGGCGGCCCTGCCCGCCCCTCCCGACAGGTAAGCGCGCGGCTCGGCGGCCCGGGCTCGGCCTGAGGCCCCGGCTGCCGCGGCGTCGTCCCCGGCCTTCGCGGGCGGACTCCTCGCCGCAGCCTCCCCCGCCCGGACCCCGCTCCACCCCGAGGCTGATGCCCCAGAGCTTGGGGGCGCCCACCCCGACCTCCCCCAGTCCCCTCGGCGCTGGACGGCGGGGCTCTTCTCGCGTGGACGCCCTGCTGCAGCCGCCCCTCCGCCGTGCCGCCCCCCGCCCCTCGTGCCCCCTTCCCTCCGAAGCTGCCCTCCACCCGCACCCCGGATCTGGAATTTCCCACCGGTTACGGGAGTCCGGAGGGTCCTGCCCACCCACGTCGCCTCACGGGGCGCGAGCAGGACCCTGCCCCGTCTCCTTCAACACCCTCTTCCCGAGCTCCTTCGGACACAGGACTCGGCCTGGATACATCCCAGTCAGGTGGCCTCTGAAGCCCGGTGGAGCTTCCACCTGCTAAGAAGTGAGGGTCCTTCTCAGCAGGTGTTGGTGAGCCCAGTCTCATCAGAAATGGCAGCCTCAGCTCGCTTGGTTTTCCTCCTTACCCTTTGACGTGGATGACTGTCTTGAGGGAGAAAAAGAAACCAGGAAGGGGCTTTTAAAACTTCTCAGTTTATGTGTGTTTAGAAGACCTGTGCTTCTTGCCTGTTATTTTAAACAGTTTTAATTACAGCCCACCAATTCTGAGAAGTAATTCTGCTCATTTTTTGCAGGTCTAATATTCCTGCCATGCTCTGCTGATTATAGCACCAAAGTTCGGCTGTAAAGTGGCCCAGGGGATTGAAGCCCTCAGCTTTGTTTTGGCGTCCCTTTCTGCGACCATGTCCTTGTCAAAGTTCAGAAGTAATCCGTGCTTTAGAGAAAGGGCTCTTCTTAGACATGGGTAGTTGAGGCGCTTCAGTTTCTGGGAAGGACTGCTAGTATTTCTGCCGGTCGCTGTGTTACAGCCCTAGGGTCTAAACAGTGTTCTTAAATATCCCTTTTGATCTCACATACTGAGAATGTTCCAACTTATGGATCCTGAGCTTACCGAACTAACTCAGAGTGTCCTCACTGGGTGTGACGTTTGCTGAAGTCACATCCACTTGCAGAAGGAGGTATATTTTTGCATCTTGGTTTCAAGTGTTAAGAGTTTTGGATTATTTTTCAAGATAAACCATATTTGTGCTTTGAAGGTTAGGAGGTATTTACTTTCGTGTTATTAACTTTAACATTTCAGGGAACTAGGGCTCTTGAATATCCACAATGAGTCACCTAGAGGAGTTCCTTTTAAATCCAAGCTGAGTCCTTTCCTTTTTGCACGTTTTCTTCCTCCGGTGGTTCTGCGAGTATCCTGTATGTTTTACAGTTAGAAATTCAAGCCATCTCCTCATGGTTCTGACTTTTGTTTGCTTGTGTCTGTTGACCAAGACATAAGCCCCTGAGGGCAGGCATGGTGCTGTGGAAAGAGTGCAGGACTGAGGTGGAGACCTGGATTGGTCTCGTCCTGCTTTGGCGGCTCACCTCCTCTCCGTGGGCCGTGGCTTCTGCGTGTGCAGTAGTTCTGCCAGGGCCGTCAGCGGCTGCTGTACAAGAATGTGTCCCGAGGACCGTGTAAGCTCAGCCTCGCTCCCCGCCTGCCAGGGCATCTCTCCACGCAGGTTCTCCCTCTTCCATCCTCAGTCGGCTGTACCGGTGGACGCTCAGTTTGATGACGGTATCCGCCTGAATGAGTCATGCTGGGGGCCGAGTCCTGCGATCAGGAGTGAGCGTTCACTGCCTCATGATCTGTGGTTCCTGGACACGCTCACACAAGGCACAGAGAATTATGGAGCAGAAGGGAGCCCAGGGTGAACTTTTGGTTTTGTTTTTATGAACTGCAGAAAACAGGTGTTTATTTCCTGACTTTGAATGGGTTTAAAGTGGGCACTGGTCAATGTTAGGAGTCATGGGCTTCAGAATTCAGAAACTTTGGCTGTGTGGAGTTGGGACCCCCCCAGTGAATACCTTGTTTCTGGATACTTAAGATTAGAAATGAAATATAGGACAGAGGGTTTTTTTTAAAATTTTTAAATTTTTCTAAAGCTTCACCTCAACATAAAGTTCCACCTACAACGTTAGTGGGAAAGCTGGTCTACACGGTCCTCTTAAACACAGTGAAGGAGGGAAGGGCTGGTGCTGGGAAGGTCCCATGGCTTACAGAGTTCTGCGTGTTCTCCATGTAGTGAGAGGTAGAGGGGACAGCACACGGCTCCATTCGTATTGAGAGGTGGGTGAGCCTCAGAGAAACAGTGCACTGAGGCGTGGGCTGGTGGGGATCCAGGTCTGCTGCCTCCAGGCTGGACTGTCTTCTACAGTTTGCTCGGTGCTGTTGTGTGCAGGACCGCTGGGTCATTCTCCTTTGACGCTGGGGTTGGTACCACCCCTTCCTCCTGCTTTGAATCTTAACTATGTCGATTTTCCTGGTCCTGAATTAGATGGGCCATCAGTTGAAGTTGTACTTTGCTAAAGCTAAGAGAGCTACAGAGACATCAATAGGTTTTCTCTTCACCCTAAACCTTGTTGCTATTGTCCCACTAGGGTCCCTGTGAGTCACCGTGGCAGGGCTGATGGTCTGAATCCACTCTGCTTGTCCTGCAGCAGCCACACTGTTGCCCCCATGCCTCAGAATGGCCCCAGAAGGACCTACCTGCAGGTCCCCCGGCAGGCTGGACTTTCCACACACTCCAGGCAGGGTACCGCTTCTGCCCCGACACGGGCAGGAGCCTCCCTGCACTGCGTTGGGGATGTGGTAGGGAGGGTGGAGCGCCGAGTCCCTGGGCTCCCTGTAGTTGGCAGTGATCAGCCCAAGTGTAGTGTGTCGCCTTTTAGGTGGAAAATCGAATTTAGCAGCCAATCTGTGTGTGTTTTTAAAGACTACCCCTTGCTGTGAATTTCACCATTAGAAGATAGGACTTTTTATAAATGATGCGGTCTTGGTGGTGGATAACCGTAAGCAAAGTGGCACCAGTAATTACGTGGTCTTCCTGGCCATCGCCCCGGCCACAGCCTGGGAGCCTCCTGGGGGTATGGGGAGCAGAGTCCTTCAGTACGTGGTCCTCTCGGCCCCTGCAGCGGGCGGCCCTGTGACCAGGGCTTCCCAGCAGCTCAGCAGATGGCCTCTCAGGTTTTCTGTTGTGTGGGGTTTTTGGACAGACGTTATTTTCTTTTTTGTAGAGTAGCCTGTTTGTAAGTTTAAAGTGTTTGTTTTTCTCCTTTGCAGCATCATGGCCAGCCCAAGAACCAGGAAGGTTCTTAAAGAAGTCAGGGTGCAGGATGAGAACAACGTAAGCCTCTGCCTCCCACCCCCGCCCCAAGCCTTGGTCAGGGTCAGTGAGTCTCGGGAAGTTGTGCTCTGAGCCCATGGTTCTGAGACCCTCCTGGAGTCGATGGTGGTTGGCGTCCTCTGGACGTGTGTGACTTGTGCTGGCTGGTGGCCTGGGTGGCCGGCTCTTAGAGTGGTGCCATTTCTGGCGCTCATCAGTGCTGGCTGTTGGGGGTGGGGGCTCCTCCACATTCCTCAGGCCACATCGCTCTAAGGACAGGTCCGCCTCATCTTCCCATCTGAACATTTTATTACATGGGAGGCTCTTTCCCCTCACGCCTTGCCCTGACCCACGCCCCCGGCCACCCTGGGCAGCCCTCTGCATTTGCTTCTTGAGGCCACCTGTCGGATCTTTGGGGTCCCTGGGCTCTGCCCTCAGCCACCTGGTGAGTCACTTGTGGCCCCTTTGCAGGTTTGTTTTGAGTGTGGCGCATTCAATCCTCAGTGGGTCAGTGTGACCTATGGCATCTGGATCTGCCTGGAATGTTCGGGGAGACACCGTGGGCTTGGGGTGCACCTCAGGTCAGTGTCCTACCACTCCGGCTCTGCGGAGAGCCTGCGGCCATCCCAGCATCTGTTTCTGACACTGGAGGTGCTGACGCCAGGGAAGCTTGGGGGCCGTCTCCCGTTGAGTTGCCAGTGTCCACTCCAGTGACGCCATGGCACAGGGTTCCAGCTGCTGGCCACTCAGCCTCCCTGCGGCTGCTGCTTGCTGTGTCTAATTCTCAGGACGATGCTGGGTGGAGGGTGTCCCTGGGTGTCCCCGGTGCTGGTTGATTTGCTCAATCCTCTGGTTTCCAGCTTTGTGCGCTCTGTTACTATGGACAAGTGGAAGGACATTGAGCTTGAGAAGATGAAAGCTGGCGGGAATGCTAAGTTCCGAGAGTTCCTGGAGTCTCAGGAGGACTACGATCCCGGCTGGTCCTTGCAGGAGAAGTACAATAGCAGAGCCGCGGCCCTCTTTAGGGATAAGGTAGAGATGGGCCCGACTCACTCTTGCCCATGGTGCGGGTCTGCTCTGCCTTTAGTGGTTCTGGAGTTGGTTCTTTTGCTGGTTCTGACACACCCACTGGGCCACACATAGTCCGGGACAGAAAGGAATGTCGTGGTCCTTGCTGCCCTGCCCAGAGGGGAGGCAAATGGCTTGTGGGAGAGACGGACCTTCCCCGCCTCCAGGGGAGAAAGTAGCTGTGACCGTTTTCTGCCTCTGTGACATGTTGGGCACAGGGTTTCTAAGAAGTTTGGAGGCCAAATGGGTGGGTCCCCCTGCGTTTGAAGTTGGAGCTGCACCAACTAGGAGCTCCCCAGCTCTGTTGTTCATGTAAAGGGAGCCCTGGCCTCGCGTCCACACCTGGTCTGTGCACCTGAGCAGGGGCCGTCGAGGGGGGCCAGGAGGAGGCTGCGGGTGGTGGGTGCTCCAGGCGGGCCGAGGGGGCTGCACTAGAGTCAACGGTGCCCAAGGGTGTCGCCAGGCACCTTTATGCTCTCTGATGCCCTGTGTCTCCTTGTCAGGTGGCCGCTCTGGCCGAAGGTAGAGAGTGGTCTCTGGAGTCATCACCTGCCCAGAACTGGACCCCACCTCAGCCCAGGACCCTGCCGTTCACAGCACACAGGTAGTTGCTCCTCATGGGGCCTCAGTGCAGTTTCCACTGGGCCCTGATCTTAGTCGACTGGGTTACCCCACAGAATTCCCTTCTTTGCTGTTTTAACAGCTCTTTTCCCAGAAGTCAGTGGGAAAAACAGATTTTTTAAATTGCCAAAACAATTCAAGCTTTTCGTAAATTTCAACCCATAAAGCTGTCTCAAAGAGTGCCCCAGGTAAGCTCTGCACGCCTTCCAGATGTGCACACAGCCGTGTGCGCCGTGGCACTGTGGGATTCACGACTCCGTCTGCCCACAGAGGTGCTGTCTCTCCTTCCCCAGAGTTGCCCATCTACCTGTGGCACTGGCCCTGCCACCCTTGAACTGACCCCTGTCATGGATGCATCCCACGTCCCACTGCAGGGAATGTCCTGGGTGAGGTGACTGGGTAGCACGAGGCCTCCCCACCTCACCTGGAGCCCCGGAGCCCTGCCAGCCAGGTGTGTCTGGCAGAAGGCTTTGCACTTCGGGCAACTCCGGCTTGATTCCAGGCCCTCGGTCCTCTTGCCCCACCTCTCGCCTCTGCCTCGTGCTGACGGGGGGAGTGCAGAGCCCACTGCGGAGGCCTCTCGTGTTGCCCATGAGGCTGGCATTGCTGGGTTTCAGCACCTGAGCCTGAACATCCGCTCAGAGCTGAAGGCCACCCTGGCCTCAGGTGCTCTTGGGTGATGTGAAGGCGCTGCCCACGTAGGCCACATGGTTCTGGGGGTGCTGCTGGGGTTCCCTCAGACTTCACCCAGTTTTGACCTCACCAGCCTTTGATTCTTGGTTTCAGAGCCTCTGGCCAGCCGCAGAGTGTGACCGCCTCCTCGGACAAGGCTTTCGAAGACTGGCTGAATGATGACCTCGGCTCCTATCAAGGGTAAGGACTTGAGAGCTGGGGATGCCTGGGGAAGGCCAGACCCACGGGGTTCAGTCTGCTGGGTAGGGCTGCTTCCCTCGGGGCCTCCCGTGTGCAGTGGGTGTGGGACCCGTACGTGCCGGTGCAGGGTCTGACTGCAGTGAGCCCTGGCTGCCCACCCGGGTGTGGATTGGGGGTCTTGGGTGTAGAGAAGAGCTAATACTTAGAAGAAAAGCATAACACATTTTCTGCTTGGAATTTGCTGGACCTCTACGTGAATGTTTATCCCCAAAGCTGTCATATTAAGTTGTTTTGATCCTTCTTCCAGTACTTCTGTGACTGGGTTTGGGGACTTGTCGGGGACCCTCTCTGGTGATGTGGCAGGAGGATCTTTTTAAATGAGCAGGAAGCACGTCTGTCTGCTGCTGGGGAGCTGCCAAGGCTCCTGCTGCTACGGGAGGCAGCGTGCACGTCCTGTGCGTGGGGACGCTGGCACATCCCTCAGAGCCTCAGCCTCACCTCTGTTCAGGGCCCCACACCTTCGGGAGGAGCAGGGTTCACGCCAGCATCTTCAGCCTCTTGTCCGCTTTGTTTTCAGAGCCCAGGGGAATCGCTATGTGGGGTTTGGGAACACGCCACCACCTCAGAAGAAAGAAGATGACTTCCTCAACAACGCCATGTCCTCCCTGTACTCGGTGAGGACTTGTGGGCCCTGCAGAGCATCTCCCATGGGCAGACCCGGACTGAGGGCACACCGGGCCGTCGGGGGCAGTGTGGCAGTCCTGGAACACGTGCTTTTTGCCTTGCTGTGATCTAAGGACCCATCCCTTACCTTCAGTGACGTTTTCTTGCAAAAATGTGGCTTAAATTTTTCAGATCCCAAATTCAGTCACTTCTTTTTTTTTAAAAGATGGAGTCTTGCTTTGTCGCCCAGGCTGCAGACTGGAGTGTGGTGGCGCAATCTGGCTCACTGCAACCTCCGCCTCCCAGGTTCAAGTGATTCTCCTGCCTCAGCCTCCTGAGTAGCTGGGATTATAGGCGCCCGCTATCACGTCCAGCTAATTTTTGTATTTTTAGTAGAGATGGGGTTTCACCAGGTTGGCCAGGTTGGTTTCAAATTCCTGACTTCTGATGATCTGTCCACCTCAGCCTCCCAAGGTGCTGGGATGACAGGAGTGAGCCACCGCACCCAACCAACACTTACTTACTTCTGACACAAAATGTGTGTATTTCAAATCTAACAGCGGACGTTCTTCCAAGGAACCCAAGGGCTCCGACGGCAGCCACTTGGCTGTGTTCTCTGCAGAGGGAGTGCTGTGTGCAGTGGGAAGCTGGCTCTGTGCTTGGGGGTCTGGCCGTGCTGTGAAGCCACTCGGGCGCTACCCGAGGTCACTCAGGGGCACCTCTGGTCTGGGGGTGCCTGGAAGCTCCAGGTCAGATGTTCAGAGTAGGACCCCCTGGGCTTGTTGCCATTTTCCTATTAACGGAAATACATGTTGTTTGATTTTCATTTTCCAAGGAAATTTTTACCGTCTTTAAAAAATGATTCTTGCAGGTGTGATGGCTCACGCCTGTAATCCCAGTACTTTGAGAGGTGGAGGCGGGCGGATCACCTGAGGTCAGGAGTTCGAGACCAGCCTGGCCAACATGGCGAAACCCCATCTCTACCAAAAAATATAAAAATTGGCCGGGCGCGGTGGCTCAAGCCTGTAATCCCAGCACTTTGGGAGGCCTGGCCAACATGGCGAAACCATCTCTACCAAAAAATATAAAAATTGGCCGGGCGCGTGTCGCCTGTGGCCCCAGTACTTTGGGAGGCTGACTGGCGGATCACGAGGTCAGGAGATCAAGACTCCATCCTGGCTAACTGTGAAACCCCGCCTGCCAAGCGCGGTGGCTCAAGCCTGTAATCCCAGCACTTTGGGAGGCCGAGATGGGCGGATCACGAGGTCAGGAGATCGGGCACCATCCTGGCTAACACGGTGAAACCCCGTCTCTACTAAAAATACAAAAACCTAGCCGGGCGAGGTGGGCGGGCGCCTGTAGTCCCAGCTACTGGAGACTGAGGCAGGAGAATGGCGCAACCCGAGGCGGAGCCTGCAGTGAGCCGAGATCCCGCCACTGTACTCCAGCCTGGCGGTGGAGCGAGACTCCGTCTCAAAAAAAAAAAAAAAAAAAAAAGAAACCCCGTCTCTACTAAAAAATATAAAAATTAGCCAGGCAGGGTGGCATGTGCCTTATAGCCCCAGCTACTAAGGAAGCTGAGGCAGGAGAATTGCTTGAACCCGGCAGGCAGAGGTTGCAGTGAGCCTAAATAGCACCATTGCACTCCAGCCTGGGCGACAGAGTACAACTCTGTGTCAAAAAAAAAAGATTTTTATTCATCGCAGCATTATTGCCTGTGACACTAGCAACCTGAGACTCTGGCCACGGGGGCCACGTGAATGGGAGCTTGCGCTGAGAGCCAAGGAAGGACTTATTTATTTATTTATTTATTTATTTTGAGACGGATCTTGCTCCGTTGCCAGGGCTGGAGTGCAGTGGCATATTTATAGCTCACTGCAGCCTCGAACCCTGGGTTCAAGCGATCCTCCCACCTGGGCCTCTCGAGTTGCTTAGCTTCCCAAAGTTCCAGTATTACAGGAATGAGCCACCATGCCTGGCCAGAAAGGATTTGTTAATACTAACATGACAAGATCTTCAAAGTATGTTAGCTAAAAATAAGCAGGTTTAAAACGGATGGCTTCATCTGCAAGGAGCCCTGCCATAGAGTCTTGGGAGCCCCCAAGTGTGTGTGGCTTCCAGTTGCTCGGGGTGGCCTGGCTGCACCTCAGGCCACTGACGGCCATGGTTGCTTTCTCTTGCAGTCATTGCTGCATCTTTAGGAAAGAAAAGTGCATTTTCCAGCCTGTGTGTGGCCCTTTTGCTGCCTTTTGCTGGGCATCTGCTTTCTGGGGAAGGCAGTTCAGCTTAGTGATCTCTCAAGTGAGGGTCCCTTTGCGTTTCCTTTAGGAGGAAGAGGATGAGTTGTGATTGAAATGAGACATTTATTTTTCTAAATAGCTTTAATTATCTCGGGAGACTCAGGAGGAAACCCTGAGCATAGATGAAGGAGAGCAGGTTACGGCGGTCATGAGCCCACACGCCTCACCTCTTTCTGTTCCTCTGGGGAGGCAGGAGGAAGCGCCAGCCGTGGGGAGGAGAACAGGTTAGAGCAGGTTACAGCGGTTGTGACCCCACATGCCTCACCTCTGCCTGTTCCTCTAGGGAGGCAGGAGGGAGCGCTGGCCCTGGGGAGGGGTCCTGCCCTGCAGTGTGGGCTTGCTTCTTGAGGGTGGTGGGATCCACAGGAGGCTGGATTGCACCGTGTTGGGAGCACTGCAGTTGGTGAGGTTGGGGTAGAGGGTGCGTGTCCGTTGTGCCCTGGGTCCAGTTGTACTCCAGCAGCCTGGCGAAGCAGGCGCTGTGGGGTCAGGACGGGGTGGGGGCCTGGTCCTCATCCTTGCTGAGATGCTCTGCTCAGCGCCAGGTTCCTGGGTCCCAGTGCTGATGCAGCTGCTCTTTGTCGCCTTCCTCAGGGCTGGAGCAGCTTCACCACTGGAGCCAGCCGGTTTGCCTCAGCAGCCAAGGAGGGTGTAAGTCACTGTCCCCACTGTGCCACTGTCCCCACCAGGCCCTCAGGACACTGGTCTGTGGGGGCCACTGCCTCTCAGAGCGTAGGAGGGGGCTGTTCCCACCACGTTGCTCCCCTCCTCATGCCAGGGTGGCTGCCTCGTGTACCCGCTCAGGGCCTGCCCGGCCAAACTCGTTTCCTGTTCACTGGTAACTGGTGCAGGTGTGCAGCCACTGCACTGGCCACCTCGTTCTGGGAGCTGCAGAAGGGATGTGGGACACAGAGGGTTTCTGGGCGTTCCAACCATGGGCTGTGCCAACGCAGTACCAGCCAGGGTGGTCCCAAGGCCTTGGAGGTTCTGCAGGAACACAGCAGCCCAGGCTGTCAGGAGCTGCTCCTGTGTCAGACCAGCTGCTGGCAAAGGGGTCCCGCCCTGATGAAAGTGAGGGAGATGTGAGCCCCATTGATTCCTAGACTCCACCCTAACCAAGCAGGGCAGGTCTCGGGCACCCTGTGCCCTAGAGCTTCTGGGGCTCAAGTCGTGTTTTGGTAGCGTTTTCTCTCTTTTTTGCCGCTCCTCAGCCTGAAACGGGAGGATTTGGGGCTTTCATCAGGGCAGACAGTGGAGCATTAGGCAGAGACCCAAGAGCAGGCCTGGCATCAGGATGGGGCGTGGGCCCCCGGGGGCTGGGCTGTGGTGTGAAAGGAGAAGGGGAAGCCCAGAGCAGGGCAGCTGGGTGCCTGCAGCTGCCCAGACAAGCAGCCAAGGCACCCAGTTTAGGCCTCTTATGAGCGGAAGTCACGGTGCGCGCCTGTCAGATGTCCCCATGGTCACCCTGGCCCCGTGGCTTCCCCAGTCACAGTGCGCACCTGTCAGAGGTCCCCGTGGTCACTCTGGCCCCGTGTCTTCCCTGGGAGAGGCAGGCCTGGGTGCGCCCTGGAAGGGGCAGCAGGCCAGGTGTCCAGGCTCCAGCTCTCACAGCCCCGTGACTTTGCCAAGTGTGAGGTTCTGGTTCCCGCCAGGGCCTCCGTTTTCCGTCACCACGGGAGGGCTGCGGCCTGGGGAGGCCCAGGTACCTTCCAGCCAGTGTCACGGCTAGGCCTTTTCTCCTCCCCCAGAGCGTAAAAGTGACCGAGGTGGCTGGACTGTGCTTGGCATGGAGCTGCCTCCGCAGTGGGGTAGATGAGCCTGGGCCAGTGGCGCCACCCATTGAAGACAGTGCTGGTGTGGCTTCCCCAGCCTGTCCTCTGCTCCAGCAGGACCCCGCCCTGTCCTGAAGTCTGGAGGATGGGGTTGGCCCTGCTGTTCCCTGGCCTCGCACACTGCTCACATGTGCCCTCGCCCCAATAGCTTGCTGGGCTGGCCTCCCTCCAGGGAGAAGCCAGCATTTGTGCTAATCCAGGCCCCACTGCAGCTCTTCTGGGCATCTCAGAGTTATAGTCCCTCCCACCCGAGAGCTGCTGGCAGCCCAGGGGCCATTGGGAGACAGTCCTGGACCTGAGTCTGTGGGCCCTGAGGAAGGAGGCCTGGCAGTCCGTGTTAAAGACTGTCAAGCGTTGTCTTTGTTTTTCATTGTAGGCTACAAAGTTTGGATCCCAAGCAAGTCAGAAGGTAACAGAGGAGAAGCTTCTGAACCCTGGTGCTTCTAAAACTATCCTGAGTCTCTGACGTCACGTGCAGCGCCTGAAGCTGCCTGGTTCCCTCTTCTCAGGCCGCGCGCTCAGAGCGCAGGAGGGGCTGTTCCCACCATGTGGCTCCCTCCTCATGCCGGGGTGGCTGCCTCACGTACCCGCTCAGGGTCTGCCGGGCCAAACTCGTTTCCTGTTCACTGGTAGCTGGTGCAGGTGTGCAGCCACTGCGCTGGCCACCTCGTTGGGAGCAGGGACTGCCTGGCTTGGCAGACGACCCACACTGGCGGTGGCCGCTCAGCCGGAAGGGCCGTCATGGGTGGTGCTGTGCCTGCGGCACGTAGGATGTGTCTGCATGCTGAGGCAACGGAGGGTCCCTTAGCCCTGGCCAGGGCATCCCCCAGTTGTAGGCAGTGTGGCCTCAGGCATTTGCATGTTTTTTTTTTTTTTTTTTTTTTTTGAGACGGAGTCTCGCTCTGTCGCCCAAGCTGGAGTGCAGTGACCGGATCTTGGCTCACTGCAAGCTCTGCCTCCCGGGTTCACGCCATTCTCCTGCCTCAGCCTCTCGAGTAGCTGGGGCTACAGGCGCCCGCCACCTCGCCTGGCTAGTTTTTTTGTATTTTTTAGTAGAGACGGGGTTTCACCGTGTTAGCCAGGATGGTCTCGATCTCCTGACCTCGTGATCCGCCCGTCTTGGCCTCCCAAAGTGCTGGGATTACAGGCTTGAGCCACCACGCCTGGCCTATGTTTTTATATTCTTTAGGATGTGGGTGGGGGCCCCACAGTCCCCACTTGGTGGGTCAGGGCTGTGGTCTGGCTGTCCTTGGATTCAGAATCACACCCAGGAGGCAGTGCCCACGTGAGGCCCACCACGAAAGCTCAGGACTGCAGGCGTGGAGCTGTGCGTGGCTTTTTAGGACACGCCCTTGCCCCCGGGCGAGGGGGTCCATTCTCACAAGGTGCCCATCAGTCACCCCTGTGGCCCATAGCACCCCCTTCCTGTCTGAGGGAGTCTCTCCACGTGCCTACCCCCAGCTGCAGGGATGCCTGCCTGGCTTTGCCGCAGGCCTCCCAGAGTCCTGAGCTGCAGTCGCTCAGCAGTTCCTGCAGGTGGTGGTCAGTTCCCGGGTAGGGAGCGGCTGCTCCAGGGTTGTGTTGCTGAGAGCCTGCCCGGTGCTGCCTTAGTGCTGCAGCGCCCCGTGGTGGGTTCGAAGGCGCTGCTGGTTACTAATGCCGCCCCTCACCTTGCTCTCTCCTCACCTGTCTCCTTGCTGTCGGGTAAAGTTTTGGGGTCACAAGCAGCAGCCGGAGCCGGTAAAGCCTGTGTCTGCTCGTGCATGCCGCCCGCGTCTCTGCCGAGAGTGTGCTTGGCTTCCTCGGTCCTGCTGCTGCTGCTGCTGTCTGGTGTCACCTCACGCGTGCGCACGCTCAGACCCTCTCCCTGGCCTCGGTCCATGGCTCTCCTTTAAAATGCAGGATCTGCATCAGGCTTGGTTGTGTGTGCCTTTCAGCCCTGCACAGTACTACTGCGCTCCACCCTGGGCAACTAAATGAGACCCCCATCTCCAGAACACACAGACCCCCCGACCCAGGCTTGCTGTCGGGGAGGCGTTGGAGGGAGGGCGGGGGCACTGAGCGCCCAGCTGCTGAGCAGGGTTTCCAGGCTCCCTCGAACACAGTGCAAAGGGGAGGATCTTTGCTCTGTGACGAGTTCTTCCCTTTCCGGCCTTTGATCCGTGCTGCTCCCTGCCTTTGGGGGAAGAGGAGGCCTCACACCACATCCCCAGGTGACCTTAACGCCACTGACCCAGGATCAGGAGAGGCTGAGCTCCTTTCTCAGCAGCTTCTTCCTGTGGCCCCAGCCTCTGTGCCCTCTTCCCTCCATGGGGGACTCAGTGCCTGCCTGGGGAGGCGGAGCTGCGTCCTAGGTCAGCACAGGGTGGCTACAGCCGGTGTTGGCGTCAGGCACAGGCTGCACAGGGCATGTTCCCACCAGCCCAGCCCTGCCGGCCGCATGGTGGCCCGTGAGGGAGGACCCCGGGGGGAGCTCCCCCTCGTCCTGAGGGCACTTCCTGCGAGAATGGGGGTGGGAGGGCCGCGGTCTCCACCTTCTAGATGTGGCAACCGACTGCGCTTCAGGTGTTGTGTGCGAAGCCTTGTTTCCTGCTCCCTGCATTTGTATCCTGCTGTCTTCCTGCCTTCCTGCTGGTGAAGCTCGTGCTGCCCTTTGCTGGCCTGTACTGCCACTGATGACCCATGTCTCTTGGTGGAGCTGCTATGGGGCTCACGTGACTTTCCTTCCTGCAGGCGTCCGAGCTGGGCCACAGCCTGAACGAGAACGTCCTCAAGCCTGCGCAGGAGAAGGTAACGGGCAGCTGCGGGTGGTTGACGTGCTGCTTGTGCCTGGAGCTCTTCACTCCGGGGGATGTGGGTGCGTCAGGGGCGTTGGGGGATTGTTTGTCCAGCAGCTGGGACTTGGAGGGGTACCTCTCAGACCCTCCAGCTCATCCCTTTCCCTGGCCTAGGGCCTCCCTTGCAGCCCCCCAGCCCACCTCCATTCCTCTGCCTCACCCCCACAGCGGGCCTTGGAGCTGTGCCCAGAGGAGGCTCTGGTACGGGAATGATGCCCACTATCCTCGGGGATCGAGAGCCCCGCCAGCTCCCTGCCTCCTTCGGGGCTTGACTGGGACAAGCAGGGCAGGCACCCCCAGGGCAGCATGGGCGTCCTCAGGTCATGTTGCTATTTGTCAGCAGCGGCTGGCGGGGGCCACGTCTGCAGACACCAGGCCTCGCAATGACGTGGGCTCTTGATGCTGGAATCCATTTGGGGCCACTGTAGGACTTTCTGGGGCTCAGCCTGACGGGTGTCCCCAGGCCCCTGTTACTTTGGATGCCCTCACCCTGGGGATTCCTGCACTCCTGAAGCTTTAAGCTTTAATCTCTGCCGCCCCCATTAATGCTGCCGTCTTAATCCGTGCAGGTGAAGGAGGGAAAGATTTTTGATGATGTGTCCAATGGGGTCTCTCAGTTGGCATCCAAGGTAGGGAGCCTGCCCCATGTGCGGGCACAGTCAAAGCTAGTCTCCATATTCCACGGCCCTGGGCATGAGAACAGGGTATGCCCCGTGCAGCCCCCAGCCCGCCTTGGCAGTGGCCGCTGTCCTCTGAGACGGGAGGAGGGCTGCCCAGCCTGATGGCCCGAGGGATATGGAAACAGCTTGGCCCACTGCGGCCCGGTCAGCCACTAACTGTCACTTCTCCTGCTCTTACCTTGCTGCTGCTGGCCTTTTCCTCGGTAAGCGCCAGCGCCATCTTAGCTGCCGTTGGTCTCGCTGCTCTGTGGGCCATTTGGGGCGTGCATTTTGTCCTGTTTCCTGGCATGAGGCGCTCTGCAGACGGGGAGGGAAGAGCAGGTCTCGGTCCTCTCCCCCGAGCACGTGGTGGGAGCTCTTGAGGTCTGTGCCCGAGGCTGTCCTCACTGCCGTGTCCCGCATGCACCTGGTGCCACTGCGGCGTGGCTGTGCGTGTCTGTCTGTACGCGTGTGCGCGGCACCCCTTGTTTCTGGATGTTTCTGGATTTTACCCGGGTCTTTTCAGCGTGATGGCGTGTGCCAGCTTGCGTGTGGGGGCCTCCAAAAGCTGCCTGTGCCGTGACAGGGCCTTCCTAACCTCTCTTCCCGTCGCCTTCCAGGTCCAGGGAGTCGGTAGTAAGGGATGGCGGGACGTCACCACCTTTTTTTCGGGGAAAGCAGAGGGCCCCTTGGACAGGTACGCTGTGTCCCCTCCTGGGCCTTTCGTCCCACTCCCCTGCCTTGTCCACTCCTCCCACAGGCTGTCGGGGAGGTGGTCGGCATCGTTGCTGGGGAGGGGAGGGGGGTGCTGTGGAAGGCTCTCTCAGTGCTCTGCAGCTGCAGAGGCCTGTCCTGCCTGTCTCTGCCCTGGCTGTGTGCTCTTTGGAACCCTGCAGGAGCTGGGCTCCCCAGGCTAGGGTGGGAGGGAAGGTCTCAACCACACGCCCCCACGTAGGAGGAGCTGGCCCTACTCTGCTGTTCCTCTGTCTTCCAGACTCTGGGTGGGTGGAGCAGGTGGGGGGCCAGGGACAGGAGGGCTGGGGGCCCCAGAGACCTGTCCTGGCCCCCATGTCCAGTTCTGCCCTTAGCGCTGGGCACCCCAGGCATTTCTGCTGGAAGCTGGCTGCTTTTCTCGGCCTCTGACTCCAACAGGGGAACCACAGGGGATCTCATAGGGCCTGGCCTTGTGCTGTCTACTGAGAGGCCAGTGCTGATGGGCACAGATGTGCTGCCCCCTAGGTGGGCCCAAATTTTCCCTGAGACGCCCTTCTCTTCCCTCTGTGTGTGTGGTTTTTCAGTGATGTGATTGCAGCTGAGGACAGAGGGCAGGGCCTGGTTCGGGGCCAGCATAGCTGAGGACGGGGCAGGGCCTGGTTCGGGCCGGCATAGCTGAGGGTGTTGCTCAGGAGAGCCTGTGTCCCAGCTTGAGGCCAGTGCCCCTGCCCCTCCCCACTTGACTAAACCACTGTTTTATCGCAGCAGTTTGGAGCTGGTAGAAAAAAGTTTTTAGTAGAACTATCCTGCAGTTTGGGTGATTGATAGAGTGGGCCCTGGTTCTCCAGCTCCCCAGCAGTTTCCACTGCTCTGAAGTGGGAGAAACAGCTCCCGCCTGGTGGGGCTGCTGTGGACCCCGAGCGCTGGCCTGGGAAGGTGGTCACTGTCCAGGTGCAGAGCTCTCGGGGGCACAGAATTCCCAGTGGTGGGCTAAGTAACAGTCATTCAGAATCCCCCTTCTGTCTCTTTAAAAGCCCCTCGGAGGGCCACAGTTACCAGAACAGCGGTCCGGACCACTTCCAAAACAGCACCATAGACCAGAGTTTCTGGGAGACCTTTGGAAGTGCTGAGCCCACCAAGGCCCGCAAGTCCCCAAGCAGCGACAGCTGGACGTGCGCGGACACCTCCACCGAGAGGAGGAGCTCGGACAGCTGGGAGGTGTGGGGCTCAGCCTCCACCAACAGGAACAGCAACAGCGACGGTGGGGAGGGCGGGGAGGGTGCCAAGAAGGCAGTGCCACTGGCCGTGCCCGCCGACGATGGCTGGGACAACCAGAACTGGTAGGGCCCACCGTGCCCCTGTCCCCAGCGCCCCCAGGCGACTTCATGTTTGCACTCTGCCCTCATCGTTCCTCCTCCTTTCATTTGACCCAAGAATCAGCGACTGCAGTGTGAGGACAGCGTCTCGGGAGGCAGGACCCCAGGGAGACTCGGGTTCGCGCCGCCTGCCACGTGGGGGTCTCGGTGCGTGGGAGCGGCCTGCTCTCCAGCCTGGGCGGGGGCCATCCCGTCCTACGCTCCCCTGGGCATTCTTGGACTCAAGGCAGGGGCTCTTCGTGGCTTGCTGGGAGGTGGGCTGTAGCACAGAGCCCTGCGACTGCTCCAGCGGCCGGTTCATTACGCAGTATCTCGGGGCTGGGAGCAGCCACATGCCGAGCTGTCAGCGACGTGAGGTGTCCCTTCTCCTTGAGATACTTAACTTTGGGTTTGCTCTAGTTCTTTCTTTTTGAAGAGAGGACTGGAGTGGTAAAGATGGAAACGCTAAAAGCGATACTGGCGCTCACACTGCTGTCCGACCACCCTCGGCTCCCACGTCCACGCCTGCCTGGGCCTGTGCGGTCAAACCTGCGACGGTCGTGACCCTCCGTGGCTTCCCTGCATCCACACTGTCCAACCACCAAGTTCACCAGACACAGCCTCCACGATAGCCACACCCACACCTGAGCTGTTCCCAGTGCTAGGACTTGACCATCCTGGAACACCCTGGAAGAAAAAGGAGCGCAGGGTGGGCCCTCGGCCCTGATGCAGGAGGGTACGACAGCGGGTGTGGCCCGGCAGGAGAGCCCTGGGTTCAGGAGCTGAGCAGGGGATGCCTGTGCACGGTGCCTGGGGCTGCCCTACAGACTGGTGCCCGCCACGTGCCGACCCTCACCTCCCCGAGGACTGGATGATGTGCTGCCGTGTGTGACTCATCTCTGTTGCCCACCCTGTGTGACTCTGGGCCTTGGCCAGCTGTGCATGCACCCGAAGCTCGTGCAGTTTGTATGTGAGGTGCTCTCTCCCCCACCACCATGCTCATCACTGTGGCCTTGGCCACACTCCTTGGTCACCCCACTTCCCGGTCGCCGTCTGCAGCACTCCTGGAGCAACCTGGGCCCTTCAGCCCCTGTGCTCGTCCCACCCTGGGGACTCGGCCACCCGCGAAACGGATGGGACGAGATTTCAGCGAGCCCTGCTGGCGGCCGGTCCTCCTGTGGGCACCAGCCCTCTTGGTAGCCGGCGTGGAGGGCCGGTGTCCTTGGCTGCCATGGAGGGACTTGGTCACCGAAACAGCCACCTGCTGTAATTGGACCTGAAGTCAGAGGCCGGGGGTCAGAGGCTCATGGTGCTGAGAAGCCACTGGGCAAAGTGGCCAACACAAAGGTCCCAGGAAGCCATCTCCCGAGAGCTGAGCGTGAGGTCTTTGCGTCTTTCTCCAAGCTGAGACTTGGGCGCGCGCGGTGGTTCCCGAGGGCTGCTTGGACCCTGGTGGGCTGAATTCTCCGAGGAGGGGTGGACTCCACTGGACAGTGGGATGTGGTGGTCCATGTGCCTGTTTCCATGTCAGCACCTTTTGACTTGGCAGCATGGAGCCAAGCTCTGCCCCCCAAGGAGGGCGCCTTTCTTGGGGGTAGGGGGACGGCCCCTCTGCCTGCCCCAGATCCCCTTTAATGGGAGGTGCAGTCAGCAGTGTGGAGGTGTCTGGGCCACCTTCAGAAGGTGGATGTGGTGGCCGAGACCCTATCCACAGAGGGTGACGGCCTTTCCCTTCTGCAGGTGCGGGCAGGTGGGCCTGGGACAGGTGCTGGGGCCTCTCCTGGCTGTATGTGAGAACCCATGTGGAAGGCGCGGACCTGACAGCATTCCAATAAAGCATAGGGAACACGCAGAACATCTGGGTGCATCCCAAGGGGCCACTTCCAGTGCTGTGCGAGTAGGGTCATGGGACCCCCAGGAAGGCAGGAGTGGGACAGTAGGAATCATGTGCAGGCCCCTCACTGCTCCTGGCCCCTCCGCCCAGCCCTCCTGGGGAGGCCCTGGCATCACTCCATCTGAGACAGAGCTTCTGGGGAGTAGGGCAGTAGGCAGCTGGGTGACCCAGCCAGGGAAGAGGTCACGGGGCCCCGACATGTGCCTCTGGCTGGCCAGTGAGACACTGGGGTGGGGTCCAGGGACCCTTGGCCTGGAGAGGTGAGCAGCGGCTCCTGTACTGGAGGATGGCACCGGGGCCTGTGTCTAGGAGGGCCCCTGCCCCTCCCAGAGATTCAACACCCCCCACGCTGGGGAGGATCCCAGCCCGTATCCTGGAAACTCAAGGTGCCACCTGATACTGGGGTTGTGGGGCAGGGAGGGTGACTGTAGGCGGGAGAGGCCCAGGGAGGTCCTGGAGTCTGTGTGTCTCAACTGGGTGGCTCCCAAGGGTCGTCCCGCTCTGGGGCAGCACTTTAGGGCAGGTGGGCTGAGGCCAGAACTGCTGGATGGGGAAGACGGAAGTGGCAGGTCCCAGCCCAGGCTCTGTGGGCCTGGAGTCCGTTCTTGGCTCAAACCTGGTCTCGGCCTCTGGCCAGCTTGGTGGGGCGTGGGCAGTGATGCTGCACCGTCCCTGGCCTCCAGCACGCAGTTCCACCCCCACTGTGGCTCCGGGAGTTCAGGCTGACAACACTGGGCACCTTCTACCACCTGTCCCTTCCCTTGAGCCAGCCTCTGCTGTCTGTCCCCAGACATTGGCCTGACCCAGTGGACACTCAAGGCCAACTTCTGCCCTTCCGGAAACTTGTGAGTGCACTGGGTTTCCCCGGCCACCCACTCATCGCATCCGCTGGCGTTGCTATCCCCCTGTTGAGCTTCCCGGGGGCAGTCCCTGCCCTGTGAGCCTCCATCGCTGGCCCACGGGGCTGGGTGAGGCTGGCGGCCGACAGAGGGGCTGAGTGAGGCTGGTGGCCGTGGGGGCTGGCCCTGCTCTGTTTTGACCCAGCCCACACAGCCGGGCGGGGATTGGGGGTCAGCCCCCAGAGCACCGAGGCTTCTGCTGGGCTGGAGGCTGCACGGGAGGCCACTGGGGCCATGTCCTCAGAGGCCATCTGGGACCTCTGGGCCTGGGATCCCCACGTGGAACCAGGTGATGTGTGACTAGCCACAAGCATGCAGGGGGTTCCTGTGGGGTTGGGCCTCAGTGAGGCCACAGTACCCTGGAGAGGACAGGACAGTGGCTGACTCAGGTTCTGTCCTGTTCCTTAGTCATGACCTAGGCAGCTCTCCTGCCCTGCCTGAGCTGGATCACTGCCAAGAGGTCTGAGGGGTGCTAGGGGCGGGGTGAAAAGGCAGACGGGTCTGCCCTTGTGGAGCTCACGTTTCATGAGCCAAGAGTGCTGAGTGCCTGACTGCCTGGTCTGTGATGACTCTGACGCTGGCTTGCATGTGTGGGATGAGGGTGCACACACGTGTTCCCAGGAGCCTGTGAGCCGGGGCTGCACTCCTGCCCCCCGTGCCTGGTGCCCGTCTGCCAGGGTGGGTGCCCTCCGCTGGCCGCGGCCAGGACTGCAGGCACCTCTGGCTCCCTGGGAGCCCATCACTGCGACGACCTGAACCATTTACCAGGCTGCTGCAGGGACAGCTGGTTGATGGATGGGCTGTGCAAGAGGTGGCTACCGGCTGGGCGCAGCGGCTCATGCCTTTTATCCCAGCACTGTGGGAGGCCGAGGCAGGTGGATCACCTGAGGTCGGGAGTTCGAGACCAGCCTGGCCAACGTGGTGAAACCCCATCTCTACTAAAAATAGAAAAATTAGCTGGGTGTGGTGGTGGGTGTCTGTAATCTCAGCTGCTCGAGAGGCTGAGGCAGGGGAATTGCTGGAACCCGGGAGGCAGAGGTTGCAGTGGGCTGAGATTGTGGCATTGTACTCCAGCCCAGGCAACAACAGTGAGACTCCGTCGCAAGGAAAAGGAGGTGCTCATGAAGAGGTGTATCCTGAATCCGAATCTGTGTGGCCCAGGGATCCAGGGAGGTGCAGGAGAGGTCGGCCCTCTCCTCTGCAGCATCCAGCCCAGGCCTTTCCCTCCAGCAGGTGTTGCCTCTTCCTCTGTGGCTGCTGTACCAGCGCTGGCCTCCCACCGCGCACCTCCAGCTCCTCTTGCCTCTGGAGGCTGAGCCCAGGGCCAGGCCAAGTGGTTTCTCTTCAGCTACTGGAACAGCAGGCGGGCTGGGAGAGGCAGGCTCATCCTCCCTCAGGCCTCAGGCAATGCAGGGTCGGGAGGCCTTGAGGGGACTGGCCCTCTCACACTGTCCTGAGTGCAGAGGAGGCATGGGCTTGGGGACTGGGCTCACAAGGCTGACAGCTGCCTCCAGTGGCCTTGAAGCACCCGTGCAACGCGTGGTATTAGGCTGGGGTCCTTAAAGGCAGAGGCGAGGACAGGCATTTGGGTGCACTAAGGGGTCCATCGGGGGAGGCAGATGCCTGGGCCAGATCCACCTTGAGCTGTGGACAGTGAGTTTCTCACGAGGCTGTGCAGTGAGGCCAGGACGCCCACACTTGTGTCATCACCCAGTCATTGGGCAGGGGCCTCCAGGGTGCATCTGTAACCTCCCAGGCAGCCCTGGGGCAGGGACAGCCGTGAGTGGCTGGCAGTGATGCCCCAGCCCCAGGGAATGGGTACTGGGCTCAGAGAAGGGGACTCAGGGGCCCCAGCAGCAGCTCCAGGGGATGTTGACACACCCATGGCCCAGCAGAGCACGGGCTGCCCGCCGGCTGCTGTGGTGTGGTGCTGGGGAGGGAGGTCTGCAGCCGCCAGAGGGGACGGCCCTTTACAGCCGCAGGCGCTGCGGGACCCTGTGCTGCCTGGGTGGGGCCTGTGATGGGCGGAGCTGCAACAGGAATGGGGCAGGGGTGGGGCCAGGTCCCAGTTGGGAGCAGCCCGGGGTCCTGTGGGGTCAGAGGCCTGTTTTCCAGGCCTGGGTACCTGCTGAAGCTCTGGTTACTGGCACCAGTCTGCAAAGTGGGTTGGGTGGTGGGAGCCTTCAGGATGGGCTGGGAGGGTATACTGGGGGAGGGGAAGGGTTACCACATGGGTAGGGGGGTCCAGGTGCTGCCACAGCCTGCTCCCCACAGTGGGTGGCCAGAGCCCCTAGTATCCAGCACCCACACGTGGCGGCCTTGGCATCTGAGTGGCTTTCCCTGTGAGCCCCTCCTTGCAGGATGGAGCCTCTGGGAGTGGGGAGTGAGGAGTAAAGGTGTTGGGCTGTGCAGCCCCTGCCTCCTCACTGGTGGGACCCTGCCCTGCTGTGCAGTGGGGTCCTTCATGCTGGGATCTCTGTGGTCCCCATTCTTGGAGAGATGCCCAGGGCAACAGACAGTAAGGGTGGAGGGCACAGGGAGGGGAGGAGAGAGAGGCAGGCCGAGGGGTGGGTCGGGGGGTGGGCTGGGGCAGTGACTTCAATGGAGGAGAGGCCTTTCATAAGCTCCAGACTTCCTGTGGCCACAGCAGGACCAGAGTGGACCAGCGCACCCCAGGAGAGAGGACTGGGGTCCTGGGAATAGGAGGAGGTGAGTGAGTTCCCTGTGGTCCTGAGGCTGGGTGGATAAGGGGCTACCAGGAGTTCCACTCAGCCTGTGATCTGAGGATGACTTTGACTTTCAGAAAAGTCGAGATAGAGACCAAGTGCCCCTATGAGCCACAGGACCGGGGTGCCCGGCATGGGGTGTGGCCAGGAGGGGCTGGGGCGGTGGGAGCCTGGGGCTGCCTGAGCTCTCCCCAAGGACTCCCTTCTTCGGGTCTCAGACAGCATCCAGGGCCGTGGGGGAACGAGGAGAGTGGACATCAACCAGAGAGTGGCTTGTACTTCAGGCTGGACGCCTGTGGCCCTGGCAGGGGTCCCACTGAGTCAAGCCAGGTTTCTGGGGTGGGAGGGTCCAGGGACTGGGGAGCTCTTGGGCTGCCCACTGGTGCCTCTGTGATCATATCAGGAACCCAGCCCACAGGTGCCTCCTACCCCAACGCCTGGGTCTTATCTGACTGCCCTTGGCTGGGGTGGGCAGCTTTCCCACCTAGTGAGGTCTTTCCCTTGCAGAGGGGCTGAAGTCCCTGATTTAAGCCAGCAGCTTTCCTGCCGGGTGAGGCCTTTGCCTGGCAGAGGGGCAGATTCCCTGGTGGGGATACTGGGGTCACACACTAGGAAGGGGTGTGCAGTGGGGGGTGTGTCTGCTCGGCTGCAGGGAGTGGGAGGGCCTGGGTCACTCAGGACCCTGGAACCCTACTGTGTGGGAGGTTGGTGCTTCTAGACCCAGGGCCTTCACTCAAGTCATGCCCTCAGCTCGTGCCCTCAGCTTAGGACAGGGGGGTAAGGGGCCCGACCAGGAGTACTCTGCCTCCTGAAGGCCAGCATTGGTGCAGGGTGAGGGGCTGGGGTGAGCAGTCGAGGGGAGTGGGAGTGCGGGGGAGCGGGGAGTATGGGGGAGGGGGAGTGCGGGGGAGCGGGGAGTATGGGGCAGGGGGAGTGCGGGGGAGCGGGGAGTGCGGGGCAGGGGGAGTGCGGGGGAGCGGGGAGTGCGGGGGAGGGGGAGTGCGGGGGAGGGGGAGTGCGGGGGAGGGGGACTGCGGGGCAGGGGGAGTGCGGGGGAGGGGGACTGCGGGGGAGGGGGACTGCGGGGCAGGGGGAGTGCGGGGGAGGGGGAGTGCGGGGGAAGCGGGGAGAGGGGGAGTGTGGGAGAGTGGGGGTGCGGGGGAACGGGAGTATGGGGGAGCCGCATGAGGGGGAGCGGCGTGCGGGGGAGCGGAATGTGGGGAAGGGCCGGGGAGGGGAGCGCGGCGGGGGCGGGAGTGCGCGGAGCTGGAGTGCAGGGGAGCCCGAGTGCGAGTGCGGGGGGGGGCGGGGGGGGCGGGGGGGGGGAGGTGGGGGGGGGGGGACTGGGGGGGAATGGAGTGCAGGAGAACCCGCAGCATTTCTCCTTCAGCCTCGGGCCTGGCAGCTGACATGCGCCCCACATCTCCGAGTGGCACCTTTGGGCACTGGTCCCTGGCCTCTGGGTCCCCCTCAGCTGCTCCTCAGAGCACCCTAAATCCAACCTCCATTCCCAGCCCCTTTGAGCGGACCCAGCCTGGTTTTTCCTGGCGCTCCTTGTAGCCCACTCGGCTCTCCAGTGGCCTTGGCCGCCTCCCTGTCTCGGCCTCAGAGTGGCGTGCCCGTGGCACACACACCCTGCACCCCCGGCTGGCGTCCCCCAGACCCACCCGCTCCCAACTCCCGCCTGGGCAGCTGTCACTCTCCTCCACAGGTCTCTAATGACCTGGGGCCACAGGGACTCCACGTGTCCAGCAATCAGACATTGCCTGGAAAGCTCTCGCGTGGCCTCAGCCCTCCACAGCCCTGAGGAGCCCCAGGAGCAGGAGGCCCCGTGCCCGTCCCAGCCACCCCTGCACTGGGCTTGGGGACGACTGGGGGCTGGGGGTCCCGTTGTCACTCAGAGCAGCCCCCAGTGGTGTAAATGCCAAGAGGAAGGAGAGAGTGGGAGGCAGACCCAGCTTCAGCCTTGGGTCCTTGAGTTTTAGGCAGCTGGGAGGTATCCCCTAGACAGCAGGTTGCAGGCCTCTGGTCCCCACACGTGAGGAGTGGAGCCTGGTGTGGGGACAGCCTGCCTGGCCTGGAGGATGTGGAGACGCTCTGGTGGTGTGGTCAGGGAGGGGACAGACCCGGGGACGGCTGAATGGCATGGCCTCTTACCCTCCACAGCCTGAGCACCATGAGCTCCCGAGCCCCTGCACACCTCGGCCTCTGCCTCTGGCTGTGGCTGAGCACCACCCTGGGAAGAGAGCAAGGACAAGGTAAGGACACTGGCAGTGGACCCCTGCTGGCCCCCAGGCCATGCCTGCCCCACCAGTGCCCACCAGGGCGGACGAGCCCTCCGCCCCTCCGCCCCTGCGCCCTCCCGGCTTTCCTTATAAGTTGAATGCTTGCTGAATTCCGAGCAGCTCCCACAACAAAGGGAAGAGGATGGGACGGACGGGAGGGAGCGTGTGCTCCTGCCAAACCCTCAGCCTCGCCTTGGGAACGCGCCTGTGTGGTTTTGTTGTTTGTTACATCAATGCTTGGCTGAGAGTTACTCCACGAACACCTTTTGGAGCAGTCTCCAGGAAGCAGGAGGCTGGGGTGAAGATGGGGCCGCCTTCCCTCCTGCCTGCTTCCCACCGGCGCCTCCCACTGGTGTTTTGGGCACATAGCCCTCTGGCTTCTCCCAGTGAGGCTCCCGCATTTCCATGCAGCACCACCTCCTCCGTGCACATCCCTGGGCGACCGCACCACAAGCACCACGTCCTCAGAAGGCCCCTCCAGTCTGGCCGCTACCGGTTGGGGCGTTTGGGTAACGTAGGGCACCACCCATGGCAGCAAAAGGAAATGTCAGAGGTGCTGTGGGCTCACCTGTCTGAGCAGCTTCTTCCTCCCGTTGAGAAATGTGGGTTTAGATTGATTCCAGGAAGGTGAATCTCTGTCTGTGGAGAAGGCTTTGGGCCTCGGCCACGCTATAAACTTGTTCCTGGGCTGGGCCAACGCGGCCCCTCCCGGCACCTGCAACCTGCAAGCTCCTGGGAGGTTTTGGGCTCCCACTGAGTGATGGTTTTATTCCGCTGGGGTGAAAAGCAGGAGGCGGCAGCTCCCCCTTCTAATGTGCATTTAAAGGACCACCACCAGGGCCTGACAGGCCGGGCGAGGGAGCCTCCACGGGTCGCTGCCGTTGCAGAGGGGCGGATGAGATACAGGAGCCCAGGTCTAACATGCTTCCGAATTTCGTGGCTTGTCTCGCGTGCTGAGGTGCCCAGTTTGCCCTGCACACAGGCAGCAGGCTGTTGCATGAGCAGGTGCCTTGGTCCCCTCAGCTCAGGCAGGGTAACCCTGCCCTGGGGCCAGTGGGCGCCGAGATTTCAGTTTGAGAGAAGCTTCCACTGTCAATGTGAGACAAATCAGTAAGTGGTTCTACAGAAACAACTTGAGTTTAGGCAAATCTAGTTCTGTCTAGTTCAGGATTCAGCACGATGGGGCCGCCCCTCACAACAGCCTTTCAGAGGCCATTGAGTCCCCGAGGACAGCCAGGTGGGCTGGGGGCACTGAGTCCAGCCCAGGACGGGTGGGAGCCCACACGCGGGGGCAGCCCTTCCCAGGATGGCCACAGTGTGGCCACAGTCCAGGGAGGGGAGCGTGGTCCTGGGTGGGGCTCTTCCCACCAGCTGCTGTCTGCCCAGCACCCTGCTCAGGCCCCAACAGTACTGTCCCCCAGCAGGGAGCTGGGGAAGGGCTCCCTGACATTCTCAGGCAGAGTGGAGCAACAGAAGGCTCTTCACAAGCAGGGTCTGCAGGAGGGGCCCTGCTCACAGCTGGCCTTCAGAGCCCCCTTCTCATCCCCCACACATTCCTGCCTGCCTTTCAGCCCCATCCGGAGACCCGGCCCAGCTGCTGCCTGCTCTGAATGGGTCATTGTGTCTGCCCCAAGTGCCCCCCAGCCCCTGCCCTTCCCCCTGAGCCCCAGATTTCCGGGGGGCAGCCCAAAGAAGCCCATCTCTGTCCCCATTTTCCAAAAATAGCTGCCCCTACTGCAGAGCCCCGGAAGCTTCCAGGGGCCCCAACCCTCTCCAGAGCTCCAGGAGGTTGGCCAGGCCTCTGCTGCCCCCTCCTCCTCTCAGATGGCCTGGACACCCATCCCCCACCATGGGAGGAAGCCCTGTCTTGGGGGTGCGGACACACACACGTGCCAACGTGCACACACTTCCAGTGTGGGATTCTGCACCCACACTCCCCACTAAGGGGGCACGTGCACATGGCAGTGACCTTGGCAGCGAGGGGTCTGCAGCTTGCATGGGCACTTGTCCCAGGACCCAGCTCAGGGGACTCAGCTTAGGGGCCCCAGCCCAGGGACAGCCCGGAGAACTCAGCCCAGAGGACTCATCTCAGGGGACTCAGCCTGGGACTCAGCCCAGGGGACTCAGCTCAGGGGACTCAGCTCAGGGGACTCAGCCTGGGACTCAGCCCAGGGGACTCAGCCCAGGGACCCCAGCCCAGAGGACTCAGCCCAGGGGCCCCAGCCCAGGAGACTCAGCCCAGGGGACTCACCTCAGGGGCCCCAGCTCAGGGGACTCAGTTCAGGAGTCCTAGTTCAGGGGTCCCAGCTCAGGGGACTCAGCTCAGGAGACTCAGCTCAGGGCCCTGGGCACGTTGCCAGCTGCTGTGTTGGCTCGGGGCCTCTGGTCACCAGTGGGGCAGTTGCTGCCCTCCCAGACGTGGGCCTGAGCCTCTTCCTGGTGGGAGGAACCCCGGAGAGCCAGGCCGGGACCTCCCTGGTGGGACTGGACTCCCTCTCACCGAAGCTACCGGGGTGGCCCTGTCACTGCGGACCCCAGGGAGGGCCAGGTTCTCCTCAGTGCCCGGGTGAGGCCTCGTCTCCCCAAGTGGGGCTGAGTCCCGCTCAGACACCCTGGGTGGGCTGTGTCTCTTTGGGGTCCCCCGGGATAGGACTGTGTCCCTCCCAAAGCTGAGGGCAGGATGCCTGTAACCCCCACAGCTGGTTAGGTGACTGGGGAGGCCGGGTCAGTCCTGACCACTATGTCCTGTTTCTGTAGCAAGTGGCCACCTGAGGCTGACTGTGCTGCCTGAGGACCAGCTGCAGATGAAGTGGAGAGAGTCGGAGGGGAGCGGCCTCGGCTACCTGGTGCAGGTGCAGCCCATGGCAGGTAAGGACCTGCACCCTCCCAGGCCCCCTTCCCCGTTAGCACATGCTGAGGACAGTCAGTGTGGCGGCCGCAGCCACCACTCAGGCCCACGGTGTCCCTCCCACTAGCCGCTTCGTGTGAGCACCTTTCTGGCCTCAGTGTCTGCTGTCCCCACATTCCTTTCCAAGCCCTGTCGTGTACGACACAGAACAGGGAATGTGGCGCTTCTGTCCCTGGCACGCAGCCCCTGCAGAACGCATTCAGTACATACTTTTAATTTTTTTAATTTTTAATTTTAATTTTTAATTTTTTTGAAGACAGGGTTTTGCTCTGTTACCCAGACTGGAGTGCAGTGGTGCAATCACAGCTCCCCGGAGCCTCAATCTCCCGAGCTTAGATCCTCCCACCTCAGCCTCCCGAGCAGCTGGGAGTACAGATGCACGCCGCCACTCCTGGCTGATTTTTGTATTTTTTGTAGAGAAGGGATTTCACCATGTTACCCAGGCTAGTCTTGAACTGGGCTCAGGTGATCTGCCTGCCTCAGCCTCCCATGGTGCTGGGATTACAGGCATGAACCACCACGCGCAGTCTGTATTTTTTAAATAAATGACTCCCTCCTCAGAACGAGTCTCAGCAACTCAGGGGCATTCAGAACAACCTGGACTCCGCACAGCGAACCCCAGAAGCACCTGCTCCCCACGTGTTAATCCTTGTTTACAGGAGCAGGGCCTTGAGGACACCTTTTCAGGGAACGCTGTTCCTAGAGCACGAAACAGCCCTAACCTGACGATGGACGCTAATTTTAAAGCTTTTCAAAACTCAGGTGGAAAAGCACACAGGCGTAAATGCTAACTGTATGAGTCAGCACAGTGGGGTGGCCAACACAAACCCCTCCTGGGGTGGAAAAAGACCGTCCCGGGTGCCCTTCCCAACGTCCACCCTCCCCTGCTGCCCGGACGGCCGCCTCCGACAGCACAGACTAGTTTGCCTGTTTCAGAACATTCTCTAAGTGGAATCACACTGTGGTGACTCCCTCATGTCCGTGTCTTTGGTGGGCATTTTGTGAGGTTCACCCCGTGGTGTGTGACAGCCATCCGTTTTCTTTGCTGTATAGCATTCCCGTGTGATTTGTTCTGCTGTTGATGGACGTGTGGCTTGTGTCCAGGTTGGCTGTTGTGTAGACGCCGTGTGAGGGATCGTGGTCCGTGCGCATGTTGTTCTGGGTGTAAACCCAGGAGTGGAAGCACCACAGCGTGTGCGTGTTTTCAGCATCAGTAGAAAACGTTGAACTATTTTCCAAAGGGGTCGTGCCAGTGTATACTCCCATCAACAGCGTATGATCGCTTCCGTTACATGACGCCCTTGGCAACCAATGCTTGGCAGCGTGACTTGAGCTACTCTGGTGGGTGTTCAGTGGTATCCTGTGCTTCTTTATTGAGCTGTAATTTACATGCAGAAATATTCACCCTTTTGAGAATAGCTCTGTGAGTTTTATTTATCACATGAATTCAATCCTGTAACCACTGTCACAATTGATGTAGAGGACAGTTCTCTTACCCCAGGGTCAGCCCTTAGCCCAGTACCCCATAACCACTGAGCTGTTTTCTGTCATTCTGCCTTTTCCAGATAGATGTGCCTTATCAGGTTAAGTCCTGTTCTGTTCCTACTTAGGCTGAGTTTTTACCAAGAGAATGCATTATTTTTTCTAAATTCTTTCTTCAGTGAGGTGGTCATTTTCTCCTTTATTTGATTAATGTAGTAAATTACAGTGGTTGATTTTTTCAATATTAAATGTAATATATATATATCTCAAGAGACAGGGTCTCACTCTGTCCCCCAGGCTGGAGTGCATAGTGCAGTGGCACAGTCATAGCTCACTGCAACCTCCGTCTCCTAGCCTCAAACCATCTTCTCACCTTGGTCTCCTAAAGTGCTGGGATTATAGGGGTGAACCACTGTACCTGGCCTATCCCCTTTTATGTATTATTAAGTCAATTTGCAAATATTTCATCTAAGATTTTTTTTTTTTTTTTTTTTTTTTTGAGATGGAATCTCACTCTGTTGCCCAGGTTGGAGTGCAGTGGTATGATCTCAGCTCACTGCAAGCTCTGCCTCCTGGGTTCAAGCGATTCTCCTGTCTCAGCCTCCCAAGGGGCTGGGATTACAGGTGCCCACCACTACACCTGGCTAATTTTTGTATTTTTAGTAGAGACAGGGTTTCACCATGTTGGCCAGGCTGGTCTCGAACTCCTGACCTCGTGATCCGCCCACCTCGGCCTCCCAAAGTGCTGAGATTACAGGCGTGAACCACCGCACCCAGCCCATCTAAGATTTTAATACTTATATTCATGAGGGAATATTGGCCAAAAACTACCCTTTCTTATAAAGTCCTTTTGGTATCAGCTTTATACCTCATAAGATGAGGTGGGGAAGGATTCCTCTTTTTCAGTTTTCTTGAAGAGTTTGTGTAATGGTGGTATTTTTTTCCTTAAATGTTTACTAGAATTCGCTGGTGCTGACTTCTGGGCTTGTGTTGTGTGTGTGTGTGTGTGTGTGTGTGTGTGAACATTTTACATAATTGATTCATTCTCCTCAACAGACATAGGACTACTCAGATTTCCTAACTTTTTTGGTCAGTTTTGGTAAGTTAGTTTTTTAAATAGGAATTTGTATTTTATATGAATTTCCTGATTAATTGGCATAACATTTTTCATATTATCCCATAGATTCTGTAGTTATAGCACCCTTTTCATTCCTGTTATTGATTGAATCTTCTCTCTGCTTTCAAAAGGCAATCTGGAAGTTTTTCTACTTTATTAGTCTTTTAATAAAACACATTTTGTCTTGGTCTGTCGTTGATTTCGTTTGTTTTTTATTTTATTTGTTGTTTCTTTTACTCTCTTTGTGTTTGCTTTTCTGTTCGAACTTAAGATGGATGCTTAAATTCATTGATTTTCTGCCCTTCTTTTATAAGATATGAGGTTAAAACTATTGAATTTTATTCTGAGTATTAGCTATAGCTGCATTTTGGTTATGTAGAATTTTCATTGTCATTCAGGTAAAAATATCTAATTTTTGTCATGATATTTTTATTTGACCCATAGGCTACTTAGAAGTGTGTTTCTTAGTTTTAAAACACGGGGGGATTTTCTTACTTTTTGTTTTGGATTTCTTCCTTAATTGCATTGTGGCCAGAAATGTACAATATGCTTCCAGTCATTTGGAAAGTACCTTGCTGGCCGGGCGCGGTGGCTCATGCGTATAATCCCAGCTCTTTGGGAGGCCAAGGTCGGCAGATCACTTGATGACAGGAGTTTGAGACCAGCCTGGCCAACATGGCGAAACCCCGTCTCTACTTAGCTGGGTGTGGTGGCACACACCTTTCATCCCAGCTGCTTGGAAGACTGAGGAAGGACAATCACTTGAACCCGGGAGGTGGAGGTTGCAGTGAGCCGAGATGGTGCCCCTGCGCTCCAGTCTGGGCGACAGAGTGAGACTCCGTCTCAAAAAAAAAAAACAAAAAACCTCGCTTTATGGTCCCGCGTATGATCCATTTTGGTCAGTGTTCCATGTGACTTTGAAAATATATGCAATTTGCAGTTGTTGGGTAGAGTTTTCTAATGTTCCAGTTAAGTTATTTACCTTATTTTTCAGATTTTTTTATATAGTTACTATGTTTGGGGTCTACTTATCCTACTACTGGAAAAAGTATTTCAAATCTCCATTGTGATTGTAGATACATCTTTCTTGTGGTTGTCTTACTGTTCTTTGCTTTGTGCATGAGTCTCTGTTATTGGGTGCATACAAACTTAGAATGATTGTATCTTCCTAGTAGGTTGACCCTTTTTCATTTTGAAGTGCTCTTCATTATCTCTCTAGTGCTGTTTTGTTTTCCTTGTATCTTACTTGTTGTGATGGTCCTATTGCTTCACCAGGTAGTGTTTGCATTAAATCTCTCTTCTTCTTTTACTGTTAACCATTCTCCAGCCTTTCATTTCAGATGTGTCTTCTAAGCAGCATATAATTGGGTATGGTTTTCATCCAGTGTGACAGTCTTTGTCTTTTTATTGAAAGATTTTTTCCATTTATATTTAATGAAATTAATGATCTGAGTTTATATCTATAATCTTCCCTTTTTATTATACATGTTATAAATTTTTATTCTCTGCTTTCTTGTCTTTGTTTGAACTCATTTTTTAATGGAAAAATTTAAACACATGCAAAAGAAGAGACCATAGTATAATGAAGCCTCATGTTTTCATGATGTAGCTTTCAGCAATTACCAGTGTGTGGCCCATATTGTTTTATGTCCCTCTCCTCAACCCCCCTCTACATTCTATATTATCTTAAAGCAAATCTCAGACATCATATAATCCTGTCTATAAATATTTCGGTATGTTTCTCTAAAAGAAAAGACTCAAACATAACCCCAATACCATGAGCAGCTCCCAAATTTAAAATGTTTCGGTACTATCATTGAATATTTAGTTGTGTTGAGTTTTCTAACTTGATGCATGTCATTTATTTATTTATTTATTTATTTATTTATTTATTTATTTATTGAGATAGAGTCTTGCTCTGTCACCCAGGCTGGAGTGCAGTGGCATGATCTTGGCTCACTGCAGCCTCCTGCTTCCAGGTTCAAGCGATTCTCCTGCCTCAGCCTCCCAAGTAGTTGGGATTACAGGCGCATGACACCATGCCCAGCTAATTTTTGTATTTTTAGTAGAGACAGGGTTTCTCCATGTTGGCCAAGCTGGTCTCGAACTCCTGACCTCAGGTGATCCACCCGCCTCGGCCTCCCAAAGTGCTGGGATTCCAGGCGTGAACCATGGCGCCTGGCCTTGACACGTGTCTTTTACAATTGATTTGTCTGAAATGGGACGTGAACAGAGTCTGTACAATATGTTTAGTTCCTGTGTCTTAAGCAATTTTTAATCTAAAACAGTTTTCTCCTCTCCGTTTTCCTTGACATTTATTTGTAGAAGAAGAAACAAGATTGTTCTGTCGAACTTCCCACT